CCCTGCCCTCCCTTCAACCCCTCCATCCCTCCCTATTTACAAAGACTTTGTTTCCATTTTTTCATTTTCTCATATTAATTCCATTCCCTTCTTTCCCTTCCCCTACCCCTCCCACTTCCCCCTCCCCTTTGCCCCTTTTCCTATTTCACATTATCTACTATACCTTTTAGTCCTTATTTACACTTTCATACACTTTATCTTATTTTGTATGTGTTTTATTTTTTCATAAAATATAAAAAAATAAAACCTGACAGATTTGTCCACTAGTGGGTCCTAGGTTCCTAAACGTTTATATCTTGTTAGATGGTTTAGAGCCTCTTTGATTGTGAACCTAAATTATGGGGTCCAAGGTAATTGTGGATCATTCAGATCTTATCTCAGACCTTATCAACCCAAAGTCAGTAAGAAAACATATCATTACCTATTCCTTAAAAGGAATTGTTTCTGGGCATGGTGGCATACACCTGTATTCCCAGCACTCTGGAGACAGAGGCAGGAGGATCACTGTGAGTGTGAAGCCAGCCTGGGCTATATTGTGAGTTCAAGACCAGCCTGAACTACATAGTGAGACCTTATCTCAACCCCCGGCCCCCCCAAAAAAGGAAAAAAAAAAGGCATCATTAAAAGATGGTTAGATCATTCAAACATCATTAAAAGATGATTAAAAGACTATAAAAAACCTTTTAAAAAGCATTAGTGTTTTGTTAAACTGACCTCTGTATGTTAATATGGTAAATGATAGAAAACAACTCATATTCCAAGCACTCAGCTTGCTGGGCCTAAAAAAAGACTTCTCCTTTTCAGGATGTGATGTGTGACAATGTAATCTAAGTTTGCTGTCATTTTTCCCCTCCTCAGAGAATTGGCTAAGAATAGGACCCCACTTTTTTTCTGCTAGATTGTCTAGATTACTGTTTTGCTCCATCGAGTTAGGGACATTTCCTTAACCACTGTCATGCCAGGGTGTGGGTTGCTGGCACCTTACCACCTGAGAGCCCATGGAAGTCGCAGCTTCCCAGAAGCAGCATCTGGCTCATGCCCCTTCTTGAGTGTGGTTTTAAACACTCCAGCTGCCAGGAGAGTAATGTGGAAGTTATGATTTGTCCTATCCACTGTGGGACAGCCACAGAAGCATGTGGCAGAATCCCGCAGAATAGGTGGTCCCTGACTCCAGGCTACGTTTGTGGGGTGTGAATAAACAGATCTGCTCATCAGTGGCCCCTCTGCTTCCGTTTCCTCATGGGAGTACTCAGGTTTTCTGTGTTGTTCATTTATTCCTCTTTTTCTACAAGCTGTCACTTACTTAATATTCATAACCATATGGAAAGAAACTTCAGCCCTCTGAGGCAGTCTTGTTTCTTCACCACTCCAGACCATCTTTTGAGCATCAGTCCAAATCTTTCCCTGGACAGCCTGCAGCCCCCATTTAACTCCTCTCCACCAGTAGGCGTCACAAAGACCCTTCCAGCTGAGAGATCGCTTTGGTTTCCAAAGGACGGGATGGGTGTCTTTTTAATGATAAAGATATATCAAGCCATCCTGAGGTAGAGAGCAGTGGTGCCTTTATGTAATCCTGTGGACTAAGTCAGTATGGGTGCTCAGAAGAAGTTTTCTATGAAGATTTGAGAGAATATGTCAAGGAAACCTAAATAGGAACGTTTGCTTAATCTGCTCAGTCACTTTCTCGCCTTTTCTTTCCAAGCAACTCATTATATATAGCATGACATGTCTCCTGGATCCATTAAAAATGGGATTTGGATGGAAATTGGAAATACCTAAGTTGCTCTGATCATAGGGTTTCTTTGTTCATGTAATAATTATATCCAAATCTTTTTGCCTGCAAATATATTTTAACTGGACTTTTAAAAAAATGTTCGATCTTCCTTCTCTAATGAACTGAGTTACATACATGCCAAAGTTGCCGTCCAGTAAAGCAGTTTCTAAACATTGTACAAATCTGATCAAGATAAATATAAGAAAGCAAGGAGAGGGACGAGATAAAGGAATTAAGGAAGAGACGTCCTGCCCTGCCTGTATCTTCTATTTTGACATGTCAGCCTCTGAAAAAGCAGTTGGGAACCACTGCTCTAACTGGCTGTATCAGAATCCTGGGAGAAGGAAGGGCATGTGTAGCTTAAGAAATATTTTTATTTTACTTTGAGATGGGGCAGGCCTGGAACTTGTGATTATCTCACCTCAGTCTCCTGAGGAGCTGGGATTACAGACATAAGTGCCATCACACCAGCCTCCAAATTTAAGTGTTCTTGTTTCTTGTGAACATTTACTTTATTCAGAATGTTAAAGAACATTAAATGAGGATGTGAAGTTGTTTTGTTGTTTAACGGTGGAAGTTGTTAAAATGTTGAGATGCAGGTTTAGAAGAAAGAGCTAAAAAGTAGACTTTGCAAGAGTGTGGCTCCACAATCATGTGGGAATGGATGAAATTACCAAATTTCCCTCTCATAGCTCAGAGTACTTGTTTGCTTTTCTGCTTTCACAATGTGCAATTCTGCTTTTCTCTGTTATGCAGCTATGGGAGACATCCATTTAAGATCCACTGTTTACATGTGACACATCGAAACTGTTTACTTCAACTTTTATAGAAACCCAGCCTCATGGAATCACTACAAATCTTTCTGCTCTTCAGATAGTACGAAGACCCTCTGAGATGCCATAGAGAAGAGGGAGCCACTTCTCACATCTGGATATCATTTTCTTTTTGTCATTGGTTTAGGATTTAATTGAACCATGAAATGAACTACTGCAGTTTTACACTCTAACATGGAACTGGTACTGGTATGTTCATGGATAATCCGCATGACAGATATATGTAGAAATATTAATAAAATTAACTCACATGACCCAAATGTAGCAAGTTTCCTAAGGGACAGTAGTGGATTCAGAACCTGACCTTCTGAAGCACATCCTCATTGTAAACAATAATGCTATATGCATGAAGCTTCTACTCATTGTTTTCCATAATTAAGGAAACATCCCATAATAGACACTAGCATGCAGGGCTAAAGCACATAGGATTTTTCTGCAGAACTTAAATCCTTGAGATGCCAATATCCCATATGCTAACTTTAGACATGTATTTTTATTTTTGTTTTTACTTTTCATATTTGTATCAGCATTCAAGGACAATTGTACATATGTAAACATTTTTAAAATTCAAAAAAGCAGCTGTTACACACAAGTGTATTTTGCCAAATGCCTAAAAATAGTCACAATCACATCATTGTCCTCTGTCCTGTGGTCTTCAACACGTACAAGCAGATGATGTAAATATAGTGGTCAGTGTTGTAGTGTGTATCTCCTTAAATGGTATCTGTCTAAAAGGTGGTATCTCCTAAACTGTGTAACAGGAGGCAGTTTTACAGAGTGACTCAGTGAGAGAACAGAATACCCAGTAAAATACCAGCTGCCATAGCTTGCTGAAGCAAAAGGCCAATAGTGTAGCTGCCTTGGGACACTCTGTGGCCAACTGGCTGCTCCCTGGGGATCAGTCTATTCATTTCTCTTCTGGGGGCTCACCATGTCTGCCTCAGTGGCTTTTTCATTACCAGATCACATCTGCTAGTCTCACCTGAAGGCCGGTGAGCCCCCAGCCATGTGTGCTGCTGAGATTAGGCAGATGCGCCAAAGACACCTGAGACCTGGTAGCATCCATATTGCCGATACTCCAGCCCTTTCTGGCCTGAAGTTCTGGCTCCTTAACAAAGCTTTCAGCCACCCTTCTCTATGAAAGGAATGACTTGTAATAGCAACATCTTTACACTGTCCTTATAAGGACATTTATTATCACTGGGACTGATGCCCAGCAGGTCTTCCTGCATTGACTTTGAAGCAAGATGATGGACATTTCCACTGTCTGAGCTTGGAACCCTCAATGTAAGGCATAAAGGGTTAAATAAAATTGAAAGCAGTACTGATGCAGCTGCTGTGAAGTTACCCAAACAGCTGGCAGGGGCAGGAATCTGATGTTTTGAGCCCTGTAATTTTTAATCTTTAGAACAGTGAAAATTATGTTTAAATCCCCCCTTTTAAAACCAAAGTCTGATGCTGATGTATGCATCAAACTTATTTCAAAAGAAAGCTACTCTGACAAGATCGGAAATCGATGGGACCAGTCACATGGTCTGCCGTGAAGTTTTCTGATTGCCTCTTTTTTTCTTGAGAGGAATGGAGTCAGTAGATGAGATTTCAGAAATGTTCTCTAGATTTGATTTCTTCTAGTCATTTCCATGGACAAAATCCATTCCACCTCCATGTATATATCATCGTGGGTGCCCAAACTGAAGGGCCAAGTTAGATACTCTGTATTCATGTCTTCTACAGCAGGCCTCTCTTCTGAAAGTCCTTGAAAATGTTTGAAAAGCAGTTTAATCATCCAGAATCATACAGTGGAATACAGCATCTTTCATGATAGGAAGAGATGTGATTGGTTAAACCTCAGTAAAGCCACATTTCAGACCAGGCTGGGTGAGTGTCGGTCAGTGTTGTTACGTAGCTCCAGCCAAGGACAGAAGGGCACACAGATTGAAAGACATAGCAAACGAAGCGACTTTTGACCAAGATCACTTTAAATGTGCACTGAATGTTTTCTGGTATTGTGTGTATAAAAGGCTAATAAGATTTATTTTGACTATAAAAGTGTTTATAGATTTGAATGTATAAGGTGCCTCATGTAAATATGCTTCCTAGTTATTGTTACACAAGCCCTAGTTTGAAGGAATCCATAAATGGCTAGTTAACTGATTATCTACCTACCTATTTATCTTTTCTTACCCTCTCAATTATTTTTACCTGAAATTAATATTTCACATGAAAATCATTACAGCGTGCCTTTTAGGAAATATGGTTGTTCAAGAAGTATATTGTTTGTAATCATACTCCTTGGTAACAATCTTCACATGGAACTAAATGAAAAGGTATTTTTGTTTTATTTCCAGAGATTGTGATTTTATAAATACAGTAGCTTTAATGTTTTGTTCTGAGCATCTGCTCTGTCTCCCATGTTTAAATATTCTTAGAAGCATTTGTGGAATTCTTTGACAAATTTGAGTTTTGATGGGTAGTTTCAAGAAATATCTATATGTATACCCATGATTGGTGATCTAGAGCATTACACTGCAACTAAAATATAAGCACAGCAATTTTTTTAAAAATATTTATTTTGGAGAGAAACTTTGAGGTTATGGAGCAGTTTGTATCATGCTACTAATATTGATACTCCCCGGTCTACTGTGGGACCACTGCTAAGCAGAGAGGAGCAGTTAGCTGTTTGGCTTTATGGTCCAGTGAATGCCTCTTCCCATCTTTTCTACAGTTCTGTGCACAGACAGTTCAGCATGACAGCTCTGCTGCCCGAGATGTATCATTTGTCCAGTTACTACAGATCCTCATGTAAAGGAAATGTAAATCTCTCCCCACTAAGTGCCAACAGGGAGTCCTTAAGGAATGGATTGACCTGACTGAGTGTTCTCCCTGTGCAGCCACTTTCTTCAGAAGGGAAGGGAAACCCTCCTCTAGACTCAGCAAGCTAGAAAATGATCTGTAGTCACCTGCAGTCAGTGGAAAGGAATCAGTCAGTACTTCTCAGACAGCTGCAGCACAGCGAGAGATTGGCTGGAGTTGCTGGGTTTTTAAAGAAACTCAGCACCTCAATTAGAAATAACCTATCCTTGTTCCTTGACCAAAAAAAGAAAAAAAAAAAATGACTAGTACAGCAAATGTGGGGTTAAAATGACAAACTTCTTTCTCAGTTTGACGTTGGTGCTTAAGTGACAGTACAGTTTCTCTCTTTCTGTCCAGCACAGAATTTCTTGACATAAGAAACAGAGTTTCTAAAGAAGGTGCTTTGAAGATAAAATTAAATTTTCCATTCACTTCCAGAGAAAGACTGTTTGAATTCCATCATTTTTCATTTTTTATTGATTCTCTTGCGTATTTGCATAATTTAATCCTGTCTGTTGTTCTAGATCTTTTTTCAATACTTTACCTGCTACCGTTTTTCAAATTTTCCTTTTACAGTTACCTTTCAGCCAGGGGAAATACAGTATTTCTATTAACTTTTTTCAGTGTTTCAAAATCAAGTTCATTCATTTCCTGTTGTTGACTTTACACACACACACACACACACACACGGACACACATGCACATACCTATACTTTAAACAGTTCCTTATCTTATTAAACATGGTAATAAGCCCTTATCTAATGAAAGGCTGTTCTGCTTTATTTAAAGGGAAGGCGATCGAGCATTGAGCTGCTTGCAGTATGTGAGGAGCCAGATTTTGAACTGATAGGCGGCCGCGGCAGGACAGCTGCCTACACAGTGTCGTAGACACTGGATGCCCCGTGGGGCACATTGTAAATACGCCCTACAGCTTCTAAGCCAGCAGGAATTTTCCACGAAATGCCCAAACTCCCATTTGCAGCCTATTTTCTAATTTTTATCTAGTTATTTTCCTTTCAGTTGATGCTTTCCTTTAGAATTGCCACCTAAACTCTTTTCCCCTCTTAAGCGTATGCTGTCTACATGAATTTCTCGTTCTTGCTCAACATTTCTGTGGCATAGGGCTTAATTCTGGACTCATATTTATTTTCCTCCTCTGAGATCTTTTCTGAATGGGTTGACTTTTTTATGCAGTAACTTTTTTCCTGGTGCTGGATAACAGGCTTTTCATACACAGCTTTCCCTGTTCACCGCATGGTGAAGCCCCCAGTCCACAGCTGTGCCGCTGTCCTGGCTGTGGGTGGCACAGCTTGTGCTGTGGGGCAGGCACTATTAAGTCCAGGAGGAGCTGTTTGTTCTACCACACCTGCACATGCAGAGCAGATTCAGCAAGACTACAAAAACACGAGGTCATGTTAATGTTCACGCTGTTTTCATTGTTCTGCCACAATCCACAATATGAAGCATCTTCAGTTTCCAGGAAAAGAAATATTTAAAAACAAAAACCTGCCTAGTAGATTTCTGTCCTTTTATATCCATGGCCTGACAAACAGTAAGGATCCTCACTACTGGATTAAGGGACACTTCCAGAACCACCCTACTTCTAAAGTAGCCCTACCTTCAGTAGCTGTGTAGCAGTTTCTTCATGGTTAGGTACTTTTATCTGTTGTGGAAGGTAGTGCCTTCTTTGGCTGCAAAGATTTGGAGAACCCTAGGGGTGCAAAGTTAAGGGTGGGAGGCATGTTTAGTTCCCTCTCAGCACTGGCATCGATTATGAACCTTGGTAAGTCACTGAGAGATCTTTTCCAGGGCGTGAAATGCAGGATGGGAAAGAGATAAAAAGCAGCAAGCTTTAGCCCTGCAGCCAGCCCTGGCATAAAGGCAGAATGGACATCCACATGCAGAACCCAAAAGTCAAGCATGTAGGAGAGCTCAGATGGTCACTGGGCAGGTGGTAGGGAAAGAGGTACAGGGTGCCTGAGGCAGATCTGTGTCCTTCACATGTTCACTATGTGTTGGCTTTGCAAGTGCTTCATGGTTCAGTGGCATGTCCTTGATTCTCTGTTCACAGAACCTGTATCATACAGAGGTGCTTCAAGGGTGGCAGAGTTTTGGTCAAGGGCTCCATAATTTTATGTTCTTAAGAATCCTTGGAACCAAAAGTAGGCAGATTGTCTTGTTTGGTTTCATTTACAAAAAGGCATACAATGAAACTGAGTAATCTTGTTAAGATAATGTGCACAAAAACATCAAGTTTCAGAGTTTATAAAAAAGGATATATATACACACAGATCTACATTCACTTTAGGGTTTAGCCTTTTATAAATTTCAGGCTGTGATTTTTGTTTTGATAATTAAGCTCTAAAATAATGCAAATAGCCCCAAATCTTTAAATATAGCGGTGCTAAGTTATATCGAATAACACAGTACAGAAAGCACTGATACAAATTAATACTTACTAGTAATGAGTTCCTGCTAAATTGTACATGTGTATCACTGCCTGATTAGAAACCCCACTTTTCTAATTCAGCACAAAATTGACGTGATTCTACAACCAGTCTTTTTAATGGGTAAAAATGACCAAACACCTTTGTTTTGTATGGAAAACTTTTAAAAACCCTAATTGCAAAAGTGCTTAACAAAATGTTCATTCAGAATAAGCATGTACTTTTTTTTTTTTTTTGGAATAGTTGCCCCTCCAGATTAGGATCCTCAAAAGACAACTTTCAGAAACTAGGTGTTCTACCTGATCAATGCACCTTGTGTGCTGGCTGGTGTAGGCCTGTACTTGTGTTTCCCACGTCCGCTGTGTCTGAGGCATGATGCCCATCTGCAGAGGAGGACAGCTACCTGGGAGGTGTTCATAGCATGGTTTCACTTTTGATACCCAGGCAATCATGTATATACTTAGATTTGCATCATTTTAACATTCTCTCTGCTAGCTATGCTGCACTTCAGGTTCTTAAGCTATTTTCAAAATTATTGGGTTTTGGTAAAACCAACGGAAATGTATATGGCAACTGCTTTCCTGAGCAAGTGTGATTTGTTTTATGGCTGTTCAAGTTATAAAATTGTTCTTCACCTTGTAAGTAAACAACATCTTGCTGTTTTTAAAGGTCACTGCAACTTGAGGTTTAAACTTCTGGCACAATTTTATTAGTATTCATTTCCAAAGCTAATACAATACTACAGTTTTGTATGTTACTTTCATTGTAACATCAATAAAGTGACTTTCAATAAAAGATTTGTTATTTTGATGCATAACTTCCTTTAATCCTTTTTTTTTTTACTAGCTACTTTCTCTTTCAGAAGCTTTGTCAGGGTACTTTTATAGGGAACCATGGCAGAAGAGACTAATATCATGAGAAACTCAACAGTCCTTCAGTAAAGCTCCAGGGCTCAATTTGTTGGGCAGTTTCCTTGGTGAGGTGACACATAAAGTTCCCTCTACTTATCCACATGCCTTGCCTGAAAAACACTTCCCCTCACCTTAATGAAGATTAATTTTTTATACCTTGTCCTATATAGCCCAGTCAGGGTGCTTATTTGATAAGGTCACATCTAGTCTTAGATAGGTTCAGTTTAGGTTCATGATTATTGCAGCCTAAAAATGGTTCCAGTCTCACCTTTATGTCTCCCAAGTATCCATTTTCATTACCAGTTACTATTTTGGCATGTGCAATTTCCTTGACTTCAGCTCCTAATCTGCAGAGGAAAAAAGTGACCAGGGTACTGTTACAATGGGGGGGGGAGGGTGTCACTGATGAACAGCTTGTACATTTATTGTAAGATTAAAAAATAACGATTACATATAGTTCTATTTCTTGTATTTATAGCATTCCAGGCATATAATTCATTTAGATGAGCACTGAAATAGTAATGTAGCCAAAAGAAAGTCTAGGCCAGAGATAGTGCAAGCGTTAGCTCACAGGCCATCTTGGGTACAACCTGGAATAACATTCTGAAGTCTACATCTAGCCTGGCTCAGGAGGAGTCAGAGCTTTTACCTGATGGCTGTTCTAATGCAAGTATGCACCAGCTGTTTCCAGGGAGTCCTGGGCCTCTGATAGCCCCATCCCTATGGAAGCATGAAGAATGTTCTTTATAAATCAAGAATATCTTAGCCGGGCATGGTGCCACACACCTGTAATCCCAGCACTCAGTAGGCTGAGGCAGGAGGATCACTGCAAGTTTGAGGCAAGCCTGGGCTACCCAGTGAATTCAGGGCCAGTCTGAACTACAAAGGGAGACCCTGGCTTAAAAAAAAAAGAAAATCTCAGTGCACAAAACCAAAAGACACATCTCCAAAATAAAATACAATTCTGAGTTGGAGTGATCTGAGGAACTTACTCCTCCCAGTAACTGAAATATTCAACTTTAAGCCCACAGCTTTACCATGTTCCAACCTTAGCTTTAATAAAAATAAATAAATGGACCAAGAAACCATTTTAAAGACATGGGAGAGGCTGCACTGGAAGTACACAATGAATGAGATAACAGAAAGTAGAAGTAAGGCAACGTGAGACTCTTGTAATGAAGACTTTGGCCATGATTAAAGAAAGGAGACTGCTGTGTCAAATTTGTCAAGGTGAGGGAAACTTTCTGACCACAGGACATCATGGAGACTAAGCTCCATGCTCTTGGAAAGAAATGGTGGAAACAGCAGGGAACACAAGGAGACTTGTTTCAAAGTATCAGTAGTTAAACAATTGAGTGATACCAGAAGCATGGTTTATAATACTCTGGTATTTACCCAAAAGCAAATTCAGAACCAAGATCAATGGAGCACATTTGGGATTTATTCAAGGGCTAGGATGGTCAAATATGGCCCATAACTTTGGGTCAGCAATAGCCTTCTTCCATACTGTTATACTTACCCAGGAAATCATTTTCTTAAGCTAAGATTTATTAGAAGACCCTGGTGAGTCTTGGTATTGGAATGTTGAAGGAGAGTCCCTGCCTCTTGGTTCTCTGGGCACCATCTGACCCCTTTTTGGGCAGCCCAGGCCCAAGCAAAGCTTTGTGACTGCCCAGACAATAGGTCTAGGATGAAACCTAGACTCACCATGTAAGACACAGCAGGATGCTTCACACTCTGACCTGTAATCTGGGCATAATTACTTAATGGGAAAATGTAAGTTAGGGTTCAATAAACATTTACAAAATATATTTATATGGGCTCAATATTTGAAAATGTATTAGTGACATGAGACTAAAGAAGTTTAGAAAACTTTTCTTTTCATGGATGGACAACTAATTGTTCACTTGAATGGTAATGATCACATTGTGCCCCCTAAAGAGACAAATCACACTGCTTGCCAGGAGAGAATAGAGTAGGACCACTTTTTATCTGTAAAAGTCTTAGAAAAAAGGCAAGCCAAGCCAGTTTTAAATTTAAGAAGCAGAAATTCTGTGGGTGCTTGTTACACTGCACACTTTTTCGTATCTCAAACTGCCCCAAGGTGAGCACTATTTCCTTGTCAGAGACAGGCAAACAGACTTCTGAGGTTATCAACAATGACCAGTGTCAGGAATTTACCTCTGGTTTCGCCACTTGCTACACAAGCGCAAGGACCTGAGTTCACTCCCTGGTACAAAAAAACCCCAAAACAGACCACAGAGTGAGAGGCGCAGGCAGCAGCAGAATCTACACCTTACTGAAAGCTCATGGTTTAATTTTTTTTTAAAGTCATCTATTATACTTGCTTATTAGAGATGATTTAGAAAACTGGCAGAGAAGAAGGGAACAAACCCCTGACTCTATCAGTGGTGGCCAGGTAAACATTTTGAGATACCCATTCCAGGCTTTTTGCTGTGCATTATTAAAAGTATGAGCATGTCACATATCAAAATGGATGTAGGAACACTAAGAATTAGTGTATCTTCTGATTTTAAAATGGAAGAATCCATATAGATAATTTGGAAAATGCTAAAATATGTAAATGGAATTAAAGTCACCGTTTAGTGAAAAACAACCATTGTTAATATTTTAATATATTTCCTTAGGCTTTTTCTATCAATTTTTTAAAATAGCTAAGTTTATAATATACAAGATTTTTTAAAAAGATTTTTAAGTATAGTTAAAGGTTTGAATGGATGATGACGAAGAAGTTGGTGATAGTATTTGCCATTCAATTTAAAGAGGCAGAAAATAATCACTCAGTGTTCCCTGTTCATTGATAAGATCATCAAAACATGTGTAAATTTAAATAAAACCTGTGCTAAATTTCTACTAAGATGAACCCTGACACTGATGACCCTGTTTGTTTGTTTTCTTTGTCCAAGAGGGTCTACACATCATTTACATAAAAATACTCCACACGTTTTCAACCACATTCCTCTAGGGGAGGAAAGCTACACAGCTGTAGTTTAATTACAAGTTTTTCATATCTCATAATGAAAAGGATATAGTGCACCTTACAATTCTACATTCTCATATTTATATCAAAGAGGTTTAGCAGAAAAATAAGGCATGATTGATAAGGAAATTCTAATTGGTATAATAAACTTGACTTATATTACTAAAGTTCCAAAGAATTCACTATCAAAACTAAAAAGTTCAACTGTGTGTAAAGTCATAGACCTTACAACAGCTGTTGGGGAAAGCAGCAACGTAAGTTTATGCAGGTTACTAAAGGCAGGGTAAGCAAATGTGGACTCCAGTTGGAATGTTATATTCAGACAGCTTCCTTTTGACTTAAACAGTCATGACACACTGAATGAACTGAAAGACAGAAAAGACAGTGTTATATTACAGACCTCAAAACACTCAGTACACAATTGTCTATGCTTATATAGCTTATGCTTCAGTTTTCTAACTTGGAATAGTGGTTTTAACCCCCCCCCCCAACTTTCTAAGATACATGTAAATGATGGATTAAAAAGTTCTTTTTTTTTTTTTAAGAGAAACAGTAATATAAAATCCAATTGGTTTTTCACATCTTACAGGAAGGAGATACTGCTTCAATGGATAAAGACCTATTTAAATCCCAAGTAATATTTAACACTGTAGAAATGGTCATAGTCAAAGATAGGTACCCACGAATACAAAAACTGGAATTCATACAGCTAGCTGTGTCATGTGGGGACTTCCACACCACAGTTTTATTCCACCACTCTAATGGAGTACCTTTAAACACTTTATTCTTTTAATATCTGCTTTATTAAAGGGAATAGAAACAGAACAGCTGACCCTTTGACAATTCAGAAACATGAGTTCTGAGCAGCAGTACTGGCTATGAAATGTTCCAAAGTGAACATCTGAAATGAAATGCTGACATCGCCATTAAACACACAGCAATAGGCTCTGCTGTTGACTTTTTTTATTCTCTGAAACCAGCAAGGCCCTGTGTGCTGCTCATCCTTGCAGCTGTTCCACAAAGCAAGCCTAGTTGTCCCTACTTCACAGAAAATAACTTGAAGACCAGACTGGTCTGAGTCCAAAGCCCACACTTTTTCCACTCCCCAGGCTGCCTCTTCATCTTTGGAAACAGTGACAGCACTTGGTGAGAAGTTAAAATGCACAAAGAAAACAACCATCCTTAGAAGCAAGCACACTATTTACACATACTGCGCCTTTGAAAAGTGCACTCACAACTGCAGTGCCCTCTAAACCAAAAATATGTGCATCTCTGTATTATAATGAAATATTTTAGAACACTTAAGTGATCAGTGATCTCAATTCTTTTTTTTTTTTTGAGACAGGGTCTTGCTATGTAGTTCAGGCTGGTCTTGAACTCACTATGTAGCCCAGGCCTCAAACTCACAGCGACCCTCCTGCCTCAGCCCCCCAAGTGCTAGGATTACAGACGTGTGCCACCACCCCTGGCTGATCTCAATTCTTAAAGCGATTTTTCCCCCTCAAAGGCCAAGCAAAAAATGAAGAAACAACTAAGTGTGTCCCTCCTTTGTTACACACATCAAGTAATGACATCAAAGAAGTGACCTGGTTATTTTCACACTGGTTACAGGCCCTATCCTTAGTTAAAGTGACTATTTAGTAAATAACTTGTTTTAAATTGTGATTTTTAAACTGATGCTGCCTTATGTTGTCAATGAAGAATATGGGTGTGGCAGTACAGCTCTGAGCTGTTAAAGCAAGTTCTCAATGACTGTTACTGTAAGCAAAGGCAGACGCAGGATCTGCAAGGGGCTTGGGGGGCTGGAACCTTCTATCTGCTGTTGAAAGGCATTATTATGACATTCCCTTTAGTCACTGTCTCAGAGCAATTCAGAAACCTGTGTAAGTGACCCAGCTTTGAGTGCAACAGGCTGAGACTTGAACCCACGTTGTCTAATACAAATCTAACAGCAGTCTAACCAATGGAGAAGGCTAACAGTAAATGAATGAATACATTTTAGATGGTAATTCCTTCTTAATCCCTGATTTTTCTGCCATCTTTAAGATCTTCTTAACAGCTAACTTAAAAGGGGAAGCCCATTTTTGTGCACACTGTATCCATCTACTTAGCTTTTAATTTACTGAGACTTACATCATCATATGAGAAATTCACAACACCTTGGTGACCAGAATCCCGTCTTCGAAAGCTATCTGAAAAACAACCCAGAAAATTTATCATTTTTCTTTAAACAGCTTTCCTAAAGCCACAACAGTTAATTATGGTGGTATTAAGTTCAAACTGAGGTAATGCTAAATTGTACAGGAGTCAACATAAAAGACCAAAGCAAAGAAGCCAATTTATAAAAGAATTATTAGGTAAAGTGATATAATAGGCAGAAGTTGGCCAATTATTTTTTCCATTGTGGAGCTAGGAGAAAATACTTTATCCCCGAGTTAGTAAAAGTTGTGGAACTTCCAAGACCATTACTTAATTGTGACGAAAACACAGAACTCCAAACTTCTTAACATAGATACTTTTGCCCCTACATTTAATGGGTTTGGCAGATTTGTACACACATACACCATACTTTAATTACCCCCGCCCCTGACTATGACTCTTGCCTCACTCCCTTAGTTTCAGTTTTGGGACATTTCACTCTATATATTTTGATCATATTCATCCCCTTACAACCTGCCCTTACACCCTCTCAGTGCTGGGGATTAAAACCAGGCCCTTGGGGCCTCCTGCATGTGAGACAGTTGCTCTACTGTGTTAACCGCACCCTTCATTCCTGCAGCTCTGATCAGAATGTGTTATGAGTTACTGCTCTGTAGAAAGTGAACTATCTGAAGAGTAAACTGTAAATGCTTTTCATGTGAACATTTTTCAATATACTGGGATTAAATGGCTGGGATATTTCATCACAGGCTCTCTACCATTTGAGTACTCTATCCGTCGTTTTCCTAATTAAGAAGTATCTATGTACTTATATGTACTGCCTACATATGTACTGCCAAAAAAGAAAAGCACAAATTGACTGGTTATATTTTGGAACATTTCAGATAACAATTCAATTTCTGTTTTGTTTGTTTTGCTCAATACCAGACAGAGATTGAACCCAGGGGTACTCCATTACTGAGCCATGCACCCAGACCTTTTTAAAACAAGATCTTGCTAAGTGCCCAGGCTGGCCTCAAACTCGAAATCCTTCTGCTCAGATTCCTAAGTAGCAGAGGTTACAGGCATGTGCCACTGTGCCTGGCCAGTTAAGATTACTCAATAATCTAAAAAAATTCTGAAAAGAAGAACTATTATGCTAGCTATGCCTAATACCAGTGCTAAAAGTGCACTGAAGCAACTACTGAAGTGCTGAGAAATGAAATGTCATGGGTGGGGTGGGCAGAACCTTGCAGACCCTACCTGTGAGAGCCCTCAGCTTGACACAGCAGGCGATATAATCATCAAAGGTGATCTTCCCATTGGTGCTATACCGTTTTGCAATCAAATTCACAGTTTGGGGATTCAACCTAAAGCCTGAAAGACAGAAAAAGCATCCAACAACAACAAACAAAGGTTAAAAATAAATATTAAAAAAGAAGTCAGTACAATTTTTTAAGACTATTGACTCATCTTAATTAGTAATAGACACAATTTCTAAGAAAACAGAAACTGTCTTCAAGCAGCACTGCTTAGGGGGAACCCGGCTTCCGCACACGCACCCATCGTGGTCAGGGCCTTCTGCAGCTCCTGGGGGTCCACGGTTCCGCTTCGGTCGCTGTCGAAGCTGATGAAGTGCTGTCTCCAGCCATTCAGCACTGCCCAGAGCTCCTTAAACTCTGTGAAGCCCATGGTGCCGGACATGTCTCTCTGGGCTGGGGTCAAGGATCACAGCTGTGTACTCAGCAACATTTCCCAATGTCTGATTTGAGAATGGGAGAGGACTTCAGTGTTCTTTCTGCTAAGTGGGTAAAAGAGATACTGTACTTTCTTGGTAGGATAGAATGGTTAATGATAAACGAAAAGATAAAACAGAAAGAAAGTGTGGAGAAAAGAGCAATGAGTACCTATTCATGTTGTGGGGAAAAGAGAGCCCAAATGGTCTGACTGCAAGGAAAGGACGTCAAAAATACTGAGCGACCAAAAAAAGCTGCAGATAAAAAGCAGCTGTTTCTGGGACAAGGCTGCACTTCCTGGTACCCCGGGCTCTACAGTTCTCCCTTTCTGGCTGGGGTCACCTGTGGCTCACAGATCCTAGTGAAGTTCTTCCAGACTTCTGGAAAGTGAGTCAGGATGGGAGGCACTGCAGAATCCAAATCAGGGAAACTGAGTCCACCTGGGACACAAAACTGTAACTGAGAGTCAAGTTTGAGTCACACAGAGCATCCGTGTGAAAGGGAAAAGCTGCCCTGGAGCTCTTTTCTCTATACTTGTTCTACTTTGATGCTCCCTCTCCTTTTCTGTTTTTATTGTTCAATACTGGGGATTGAACCTTAGGCCTTGGCACTGAGCTACATCCTCCACCCCACCTTATTTTTTTAAGACAGGGTCTCACTAAATTGCTAAGTTGCTCAGACTGGGCTGGACCTTGTGATCTTCCTGCCTCAGCCTCCCCGAGTGTGAGGATTACAGGCATGAGCCACCATGCTTGGCTACTTCCTTTAATTCTTGAACAATTAACCTTCTATTTACTACCCTTCTTTCCTATTTTCACACTAAATTACATCTTAAAACCTAATCATTTCACAAAGCTTTTTCGTGGCTGTCACTTTGTTTTTACCAGGTAATAATTCTGAGATGAATTCCTTTAGGAAGGAAATTTATTGGCAAGAAAAAATACTCTAGACACAACCAAGATAAAGGATACATCCAGCATTGAAACCATAAGCCGACAAGTCTCCAGGTTAAAAGCTGTTTTAAAAAAAAGTACATACATATAAATACAATTTGAAAAATTCACTTTACCTTGATTACATTTTAGTTAATTAGGTATGTGATTATTCACTTTTTTATATGCTACTCAGTTTCTGTGGGTCTAAATTATATTGGAGCTGTGAAGTAGAGTTTTTTCAGATGAAAGGATTTTTTCCAGAACTCCTATTTGACTTTAAAGGGAATATTTTTTTTTTGGTACTGGGGATCAAACTCAGAACCTTGCGCTTATGAGGTAGGTGCTGGAACCACTGAGCTAAATCCCCAGCCCTAAAGGGAATATTTTTAAAAAGTATTCCACAGTCTTGTTAATACTTTCTTGCTTTTAAAATTATAATATACCTATAATATAGTGAGTTCAAATCACCATGAAGAACCATAATATATTACATCCACCAGTGTGTGGGGAACTGGGTTGCTTTGTTCCTGCTCCCGAGTGACTATAAATAGCGGCTTTTGTTAGGTTTTATCTAATCATTTGTTTTTGTCTTTTCCCTTTAATGTCAGCCACTGAACCTCCTATTCCAAGTGATCTGTGATCTCATTTTATATGCAGTAAGTTTATGTTTGATCAGATACATATGCTTGTGGAGGAAGACCTGATGACCAGTGCAGTGATGGCCACAGTTCTGAAGCCTGTTTAGTTTACCTACAGTTGGGGGCATTCTGAGGACACTATAATTCCTCACACAGCCAATGGGTGTGGCCTGCTGATAATCCATCTGATCATTAGGGAACTAAAGACAGAGAACTCCTTGGTCTCACATTACATTACTGAAACTCAAAGGTACAAAGACGCTGTAGGTCTAGAAGGCAGAAGCGGAAAGTGTCAAATGGGGAAAGCTAGTACAAATTCTTCAAGTTTAAGATGCACACAGGATTAACATTTTTTATAGCTCTTTCTAGCTTTTTTTTTTGTCTAAATAACCTGAAATTAGAACACAACTGAATTATTATTATTATACTGTCTCCAAACAGTACAAACTATAGGTTTTGCACATTTAATGATTACTGTACTTGGCATATCCTTTCCCAGAAACAAAAAGACTGCCAGCAATTTCTACCTTGGCCCTTCAAGCTCCCAGTGATCCACACAAATAGGCCTCTGAGGTAAGAGAAGGCGGCCACGCTTCTCTACATGCCTGGGAAAGAGTTGAGCTGGTCGATTCTTCACTCTGACTTTTAAATTGTGTGGAGATATGAAGTCTACATACTTTAGACCAGTGTGTTCTCATCAGAAATCACCTGGAAAATTGAAAGGATCCTGATACCTGGGCTGCACCACAGGATGACTGAATCAGGATCTCCATGTTGTTTCAAGCTTCTCAGATGACTTCAGAGAGCAGCCAAATGTCTCGTAACTGGACAAATCCTGTCAGTCTGCCCTGGGAATCTGAGAGAAGTGCAGAATCTTGGCCCTGAACCCACACCAATAAAATCAGACTGAATTTTCAGAAGATCCTCAGGTGAGATACATGTTCCCACTAAAACAACTGGTTCAACCTCACCAGCATTGCATGGGAACTCGTTTGAGGTGAAAATTCTCAGGTCTTGCCCCAGTTCTCCTGAATGAGAAATCCTGGGGCTAGGCCCAATAATTTGGTTTTGCAGTCTTTCCAGGTGATGCGGACACTGCTAAGATTTAAGAGCTACCCCCAGACAGCATGACAACCCAGGCCTGGCTGCTATTCTCACAGGAAACTTTCCATGTGTGCACGTATGTGGTACACACCACTCCTACCCACTCACTGTTTGGCTGGACTCACTACTGCTAGACTTTCACATCTCACCAGTTTAGACATTAATTCTGCAAAGAAAACTTTCCTGCCTGTCTTATGTGAACCCACAGCCTCTACACTGTATTTATTCCAATGTCCTTCAGGCACTGTGGGTGGTAGCACACCCAGCACACAGTAGGTGCTCACTAGAAATGTGTAGGTTGAATAAATGAATATATAGAGAAGACGCAATTCTTAGCCCTAAGCAGAAAGCTACACCCCCCTGTATTTTATATGCATAGCCCTCACATAGAGCATAAGGAGGAGTATGTTTTTAAAATAAGATCTCATGTTTTTCATGATATTTGAAAGAAATGTATAATCTTCGAGTACTGATAAAGTTTAGGCTAAAATTTTCCAAATGCACCAACCCAACAGCCAGCCCCTAAACACTTACTATGTGTAGGGTATAGATAACAGGAATTCTAGAGATAACAAAAATGAATGAACTACAACACTGATGTTCAATAAGTTTGGTTGAGAAAAATAACCCTTTCTCAATTTTGTTCATTGTATCTTCGTCCCAGACATAGCTTTTATTAATGCTAATTCTTTTTGAAGTAATTTAAAATATATTATGACTTTTACTTTTCTTTTCTGTTTTCATTACTAGAATGCCTCAAACATGTTTTCTTCTAGTAGAAAGAAAGAGCATATGGGTCTAGCAGGGAGCTCTCTCTCCAGTGGTTTTTCTCAGCTGCATCAGAGAGGAACAGCTGAATCTTAAGGAAAGACAGGAGCTGGGTCACCATCTTAAAGACTAGAGCTACTATGCCCATCAGCTCCACCTTCAAAGAGGGCTGCTTCTTTTTACACTGGTTCAGAAGACGGCTACACCTCAAGGGCAAGGTCCCTGGCCCACCCACTTTGGGTCTGAGCTTCTGTTTTTGGTTTTGAAGCTAGATTTAAAAGACAGACAGACCAAAAGCAAGGTGGTTTGTTACAGCCTCCAGAGGAACTAAGCAGATCAATGAAATCACAAGGTTCTCACATTTCAAGAATTGATCTAAGGCTATCAAAGATGTGGCTTTCCCAAATAAAATTCTTAAAAGGACTGCTAAGATATACAACTATCTTTTGTAGATTTTAAAACCTGCTGCACTTCCACAGTCTATGGGTGACATCACCTTGTTTCACGGTAAGCCTTGCTATCAGACCTCCCTTATTCACTGGCTCAACTGCTTGAGGTTAACAATTAGCAACTGCCTAAACACGTTTCCCTTAATCTAGAAAGTGCTTCTTTTGTCTAGGACCAGATTAAATGAGAGAAATTCAAAAGGTTCTTCTCTTGTATTCTTCCAATGAGGAAGTAGTAATAGGATACTCAAGTCACATAAAACAAGGAATGATAACAAGAGATGTAATAGTTCAAATATGCCATATCAAACAAAAATGCTGTTATACATCCTCAGCTGTGAATTCTAAGTTAGAGAATTTTAATTCACACCCACCAGAACTGGGGCTTCAACTTCATGTTCTGTCTCAAATACCAACTGGCAAAGTTGGCAGATAATGCACTTGAGCTAGGCAGTTATCTACCCTAAAAATGTGCACAGTCAAGATGATTGGAAAATGAAGTGCGCAGTGTGTGGGGGCTGATGTTCTAGAAGCTCCCAGTTGGGTTACAGCATCTTTGCAATATTTCCCTGTCACTTGCTGCAAAGGAAGACAAGTGGTGGTAAGCACTAATTATAGGGCAGAAGACCCGGCAAGTGAGGAACTGTGGAGGACAGAACAACCAGTGGGAGGAGTTTAGAAAGTGCAATCGCAAATGCATCTAAACACCCTATCTGAAAGGAGAATAGAGAAGACCTGGCAGGCTGATGGATGTGTTCATGCTGCCAGGGACATGCTTGGCACTTGGCGACCCAGAATACAGGACTGGCCACTCCTGAATGCCCTAAACCTAAGTACTACCAGGCCGAGGGCAGAGAAAGCACTTGGAAAACAGTCATCAGTAAATGTCAGCCCCTATTAATGAAACCTGACCTATGGGCTTCCTTTCTCCCTGTTAATGTGTGTTCTGCAAAGGAGGCCACACAAACCAGTGCACTGGTCTGCATGGTTCCAGATACCTGGAACCCAAATCCAAGAAATTCACTAACCTAGCAGGTAGAATGGAATGATCTAGTAAGAACAGGTTTTAAAAAGGAGCCTTCTGCATTGTTGGTGGGCATGTATGTAAATGGTATAAACACCATGGAAAGCAGTAATGGAGATTCCTCAAAATACTAATACTACAAATTCCATTTGACCCAGATGTTGCCCTTCTAGGTATCTTCCCCAAAGAGTTAAAGTCATCATACACATTACAGTGATCCATGCATACCTACAACTCAACAATAGCTAAAACCTGGAAGCAACCTATATGTCCATCAACAGATGAATGGATAAGGAAAACATGTTATTTATACACAATGGAGAATTACTCTGCTGTAAAGAAGGATAAACTGTAGTCATTTGTAGGTAAACAGATGCACCTTGAGACTATAATGTTAACTTAAGTAAATCAGACACACAAGCTTAAATATCACATGCTTTCTTGTGTATGAGAAACTCAATATATAAATAAAGTATAAAACAAAAGACAAGGTGAGGGGCAGAGCCGCCCCTAGTACTGAGGAGGAGGCTTCTAGGCCGCCATACCACCGCCCCCAGCACGGAGGAGCAGAGCAGAGTTGTCCCTAGTGCCGAGGAGGTAAGCCAAGTGGGTGCCAGCAGCACACACATCCCCCGCCTTGAAATGAGAAGACACGTAAACAAGCCTCAAAACCAAACTTCCAGATCACCTAAAGCGACCCCAAAGGGAAACGAGATGGAACAATCTGATACTCAACCACCTGGGCTCCCTGAACTGGCAACAAAAGAGAATCTAAAAAAATGAAATCAGAAATGATTTCTAAGATAACAGCAGAGATTGTGCTCATAGTGCAAGACATGATTATTAAATCTAGAGAGGACACACATTAAAAAATAGAGGAGCTGAGGAACACAATGAAATCCCAACATAGGAAACAAATGGAATCCATAAAACAGATGCAAACAGATTTCCAGGAGATTAAAAACTCCACTGCAAGTTTACCCAGAAGAGTGAGCCAATGCAAGGACAGAATTTCAGATATAGAAGATAAGATTGCAATTAGTGAGGAGGAAAAGAAAAATTTCTTAAAAATAGTAAGGGACCATGAGAAATCAATCTAG